AAATGAGCGTTCTTGCTCATTTTGCCTCCGAGATATGAGCAAAAAGGGGACGGAAAACATGAAATTTTGGCATAATCTTGCACCTAAGTGTCTGAAATTCAAATTTCGCTTTCTGGGTCAAAATTACTCGAATTTCCTCACTCACGTTGTTACGACTGAAAGGCCATTGAGTTATCTCTGGAATGAGATGGAAATCATCAAATCATTTTTCTAATTTCATAGATAACAGAAGTATTTTTTCTACATAACCCCCTCCCTGACTTTAAAGCGTTTACTCACCGGTTGGGGTTTTTTTGAAACAGACGGAGCTTGAGTTTGCTTGAAAGCGTTTATTTTAGTCTGAAGTGTCTTCTATAGGCTGTAAAAATCGCTCGTTGCTGCTCGCTAAAGATTACAAGTTAGCAATGCTTTAAACTATTTGTATAGGTAGTGCTCAGGTAAATAATAGTACCTACTAAGGCATAGAAAAAAGGTCCTGAGTGAATGGCGCAACCAGCGACTGTTCGTTGGGGAAGTTTTCAAACTCAAATTTCTTGTACTTGGACTGGAGCAGTTCGCGTAGCTGCACACTGTGCGTGTAGTCGCGCGTTTCGCACACCACAATCACCTGCAATGGAACACTTTGCTAGCGGGTTTCCATAGTGGATGGAATGGCTCGGTTTAGTTACCTCGACGCTGAACACATCGGAAGCCACCCAAGCCCGTTCATGGACAATATCTTTAATGGAGACGCCGATGGAGCTGACCATTTTGCACAGCTCGCAAATGCCCCCGGGACGGTCGCTGACTGTAACTCGGCACTTTACAAGACGCCCATCGGCCGCTAGGCCCCGTTCCAGGCACCTGCCCAGGATGGTCGTGTCGATGTTGCCTCCGCTCAGGATCAGCACGAGCCTGCAAACACTCAGATTAGTGCTAAAAATGTGCGTTACTCGAGTACTCGGAACAGTGCTATGCAAACATGTAAATCCACGCTAAACGCTAACCAACTACGTATTTTTGAGAGTCAATTCGTCCGTCGTCGTACTCAATAAAATCTCGCTAATGCACGCGCTATTAAAAAAAAATCGTAACCTCAATTTAGAGCGAACAGCCACCTGGAATTTCTACAGCCTACAGAAGACACTTTAGTCTCAAAGTCTGGAAAATTTCATTACAATTGGACCGAATCCCGATTTATGATGACTTAGTGAATGCTGGCTTAAAAATAAACGGTTCTACCCAAAAGCACCCTTTGCCTCAAAAATTCCTAACTTCCAATCTAGGGCGAGCAGCAACTTGGAATTTTTGCAGTCTGTAGAAGACACTTGTGTCTYAAGTTSYGCAAAATCTCAATAAAATCTGGCCTAATCCCGATTTTTGCTGACTTAGTGAATGTTGTGCCAAAAATAGACGCTTTAACATGAATGCACCCGCTATTTAAAAAAATCAAAACCGCAATTTAGAGCGAACAGCCACCTGAAATTTCTACAGCCTACAGAAGACACTTCAGTCTCAAAGTCTGCAAAATTTCATTACAATTGGACCGAATCCCGATTTATGATGACTTAGTGAATGCTGGCGCAAAAATAAACGCTTCTACCCAAAAGCTCCCTTTGCCTCAAAATTTCCTAACTTCTAATCTAGGGCGAGCAAAAACTTGGAATTTTTGCAGTCTGTAGAAGACACTTTAGTCTCAAGTCCTGCAAAATATCAATTAAATCTCGCCAAATCCTGATTTTTGCTGAGTTAGTGAATGTGGTGCCAAAAATAGACGGTTTTGCATTAATGTACCCGCTATTGAAAAAAATCGTAACCTCAATTTAGAGCGAACAGCCACATGAAATTTCTACAGGCCTACAGAAGACACTTCAGTCTCAAAGTCTGCAAAATTTTATTACAATGAGTGCGAATCCCAATTTGTGATGACTTAGTGAATGCTGGCGCAAAAATGAACGCTTCTACCCAAAAGCACCCTTCGTCTCAAAAATTCCTAACTTCTAATCTAGAGCGAGCAGAAACTTGGCATTTTCGCAGTCTGTAGAAGACACTTGAGTCTTGACAGACAGAGAATTGACATACCTGTCAATTCGTACGACGATGGACGAATTGACAGATCTCCAACCAATAGAAACACTTGCGTATCATCGAACAAACGGATGCATGGGACACGCGCTTATCCCCACTACTTTGGTTGATCGTCCGCACCTTTTGCCTCTGAATTCTTCCAATTGGCCGGAAAGGATTGCGGCCAACCCGCAGGCGCCTGCCCCCTCCACCACACATTTCTCGTTCTCGATAAAGCGCAAGATCGCCAAAGCTATGTACTCTTCTTTCACCACCACCTGTACAGGGCAATTCAAGGGTGACTATAATTGATGCAAGTCGAACCCGAATGAATTTACCAATTTATCCAGGAGATTTCGGGAAGTTTCCCAGGCATTGTAGCCGACTTCGGGCACAGCCAAACCATCAGCCAGCGTGCCTTCTATTGGTGTGAAAGTCGGCCCTCCATTGGCCATGGCTTGCGAGTAGCTGGCGCAGCGCTCCGACTCGACTCCCTGGAGAAGTTGAGTGAAGCTTGAGGCGAAACTCGCCCAGTTTCCCCACTTACGATCACTTTTACGCTGGGGTTGAGCATCTTGACGGCAACAGAGACCCCAGCCAGCAGGCCTCCACCCCCCGTCGGCACCACAATGGCATCAATGTCCGGAACCTGTTCCAGAATCTCCAGGGCGATGGTTCCCTGCCCGGCGATGATATGCGGATGATCGTATCCGTTGATGTAGATGAGGCCTCGTTCCTTCGATATTTTGAAGGCCACTTGCTTTGCCTCCGCCATGTCCTGGAAACCAGGAAATATCGCTCAAGTTGGCAACCATGCAATATGTCGTCACTGTCACTTACTTTTCCCTCGATAATGACATTCGCATGGTACTCGCGGCATTTTTGAATTTTCATAATGGGAGCAATGAGGGGCATGACTACCGTCACGGGTATTCCCAGCTGGTGGCCGTGGTAGCAAACGGCTTGGGCGTGGTTGCCTAGCGATGCTGCTATCACCCCCCTGCTCTTCTCCTCGTCGCTCAGCTTCAACAAGGCGTAGCGAGCGCCGCGCTCTTTAAAGCTGCAAAAAGTAGCTGCTTAGAGCCAGCAGAAGACGCGCAAAAGGTTTCCTGTTTATACCTTCCGGTGTGTTGCAAGAAGTCCTTTTTCAGGAAAATGCTCATGCCAGTCAGTTGGGAAATGTGCGAGAACTGCAAAACAACTTGTGTTTTTAACAAAAAATAATATTCCCAGAATATACCTGGAACATTCATGTGATGTACATGCATATTACTGGGACATACATGAGTTACATTATGAACATTCCATGCATGTCCCAGGAATCTGTCAGAGTTAATATACTGAATGTTCATGGTATGTTCAGTGAATGTATATGGTATGTTCAGGGAACATACATACATATATGTAACGAAAGAAAAACGATACTTTATTTCCTCTTATTAGTTTATTCACATATTTAAGTATTTACTGATGTAATTTTTCAACAA